AGTTAAAAGAAACTGCAGGTGGGGAGTTTAGCGTATATAGGGCTTCTATAAGGCTCCTATAACGGTAACTACCCAGCTGAAAATGTCCCAGAGCAAGGGGTCTAAGTAGCTAGATTCGGACCAAGTCTCTCTTTAGTTTTTTAACACCGTAATGCAAGCGTAGGTGCAATGTAAAGGGCTCGAAGCTGGCGGTTTGGGGGATTGAGTTCCGGGTTCGGTGTCGTACGAGTTTCGGGTCTCGGATGTAGGTTCTACGAAGGTTCAGAGGCGAAAGCAGCCGACAGACACTCCGGGGATGTTTTTGGCGAGACTTTCTGGGTGTGGGGGAGAGGTCCTGCAAGCCTTCGGAGTTGGGAGGGGTCGTCGCGTGGGCGTGACAGAACCGATTCTCTGAGGATTTCGATGATGAGCGACAGACCAACAAGTTCTCTGAGCATCGTGGATCTCCCGTCCACTTTCAACGGTGCCGGTGAGGATTAAATGGCATATTGGGCTTCAACTACGGGGTGTACAAGAGCGGTTGAAGGTCATCACGCAAAACCTCATCAGCCTCGCATGCAGCCCCGGCTTAGGACTGACAGTGGTGCTGACATAAGCAGTGTTCAATCAGCATTCCTTCACAGCAGGTATGCGATGATGAACGGCTTAGGTTACCCTAAGCGGTTATCCGGGGCCGAAATTATTGCAACCGGCTAATAAGCCGGATGAAAAGTGAGAAACTACTTTGCGCTCCTGCGGTGTCGGCTGCCCCAGAGCCAACCTTTCCGGCTTACTTTTTCGATGGAGCTTCCAGGCTTCGGCTTTGGGGTTACTTGGAGGGTCGGGGGACTTAGTAAATGGTTATTTTATAGACTTATAAGTACTATAACCCCAATTCGGGTCCCTTTTTGAACGAGTACTTATAAGCCTACTCATTACCTACTTGCTAAGTCTCCCGACCCTCCAAGTAAGGTTCGGAAATCCATGCTTCGGGGGTTGTGGAGGTGCCAAATATCAGAACGGGATGACGCTGCTGAGCACCTATAGCTCCAAGTCGCAAGTCTGAGAGGAGGGGTTGTCACGGAAGTTTTGGGATTTTGGAACGAGTACTTGGAATGTGTGTGTGACAGCTGAAGCCCTTCTTGACACTACAGTGATAGATGTCTTGAGCGGGACTAATACTCGGAGGATCATCAGTACTGACGCGAGACAAAACGCCAGAACGATATACTTATGTACAAGTGTTCAAATTTTTGAGCCATGCTTCCGTTCTCGGCACCCTACTTAGTATTGAGGGCACAACTCGCGCCATGAGAAGCAGGGAGGGTCGTAGTGGGGCATATGAATAGTTAGGACCTGCGGCTCTGAAGCAACTTCAGGAGCCGACGAATTACAGGTTTAGGGTTTTTTGAACCCTTTTTACTGTTTTACCTATAGTTCCTTTTTGGGATTCCCTATTAGGATTCTAAATACGAACCCCAAAAAGGAACTACTTCAATTAGGGCCTATGGGTAGGTTTTTTTTGAACCCTAATTACAGGCTTAGGGTTTAGGGTTTAAGGTTGGATAAGACCTAAACCCTAAACCCTAAACCCTAAACCCTAAACCCTAAACCCACAACCCAACACCCAAAACCCAAAACCCAAAACCCTAAACCGAAACCACGACTCGCAATCTGAAACCTTCACGGTTTCAACCACCAAGGAATGCAGTCGAATCGGCCTGCCGATGTAAAAGTGCGAGCCTCGGCAAGGAGTCTTCAGACTTTCGGGATTGGGGTTGTAATTCCGGGGGCGACAATAATTACCTATACCATTTTTGGGGGGCTCCTTACTAAAGTTAGAGCATACTATACCCACCAAACCCTAGTCTAATCATTAAGGCCCCAATGTTGTAAAACATGTGCAACGTTGTAGTTTGTGGGGTTCGAGACGAAAGTACAGGAAACTCCGATACAGCATCATTACGGTTCTCTGTTCTGCTGCGCAGAATTTGGGACTCTGTGTTGCAGGATCCCTAAACCCTAAACCCTAAACGGAGGGGGGGGGGTTCTCGGATACTGATGTTCGAATTTTCGCTGAATTCCGTGCGGGGTTTCAGATTCGCGGCCCGTTCGGGTTGGGCTTGAATGCATGTAGGGTTTAGGGTTTAGGGTTTAGGGTTTAGGGTTTAAGCTTTCAGGACTTCGCAATGTCTGGGGGCTGGTGCTGGGGTTCTGGGTCTTGTCGGGCTGCTCTGAGTTTGGGTGATTCTATGGCTCTTCGGATAGGCTCCTGTCCATTTTCGTCACCGTTGCTGCGAAAGCAGATCAAGAAACTAGAATCGGTTTAGGGTTTAGGGTTTAGGGTTTAGGGTACAATGTGTTGGGATGCATGCTGGATCCGTTGTTGGCAAAGGGGTGCAACGGCTGCAAGGCATGAACCCAATCAAGGCCAACCGACGGAAAGCTAGAAACAGTCTCAACACGCAAGCAGCAAAGCTGGTCAGGTTCCATGTGTGCAGTTTCCTGAACAGGATAACTAAACATAGTTGATGGACAAAATCCTGCATGACTTTATGTACCTAAACTATGGGATTTATGGTACTATACTATATTTGGGTCATGCAGAATTTTGTCCATCAGCAGTATCCCTTATGTTTCTAGTTGAGTGCACACATGAACATTCTAAGGAAGTGTTCAGGGACCAAGGGGCTGTGCAAGCCTTCCACGCGCTGGAGGCGTACCACCAGAGGCTCCGAGCTGGCCTATTTTGAGTGCAGGGGCCCCCTAATGTAGGGGCCTAAATATAAGTACCAACACTATTTTGGGGGTTCCTTATTCTGCTTATAGTATACTGGGCCCCAGAACCCTATTCTAACAATTAAGGCCTCTATATTACCTGAACCTTAAATTAAATGACCTACCTTTCCAGGGTTCCGTAGTATGATTTCCTTTGATATGCAAGGTTGTCCTCGATGGATTACACTAAGCCTCAGAGGTTCAGGATGATACGCTTCAGGTTCAGGATAATACACTTTTGGAAGGTATTTGGTCTAGGGTTCATGGGCATTTGGGTCTTGGATGTGTGTCTTGGAATCTGTGCCCTCTCCGGAAAGTTCAGGCTGGATTTTGTGCTCAGACGTGGGTGGAACCAGGATTAGGG